TTTTAATTGGATAGCTGTAGGGAAAATAATGAGCAAATTGATCGGGTCCAAACCCACACCACCAAACCCAACACCACCAAACCCAAGTGAGGTTCCAATCCAAAATCAATTGGTAATGGGTGGAGTAGCCCACTTGGTTTATATGGTGAATTTCTTTTCTTCTCTCAACTGATGTGGGACTTCTTGTTTGCTCCCAACAATAACTTTTTGAATGTTTTGGAGGCATAATGATATATTTTTTTGGAAATTTATCTATGGTTTAGGAGATGGTTTTTTATGCAGTCAAATTCAGTATTGCACACTGAGATGGCAAAGAAGAATATTTTCGTGAAAAAGGTGGGAGCTTTATTTAGTTATTGATGTAGGGCGGAGGCCATAGAAATAATGAAACGGACACGCCATCGAAGTTCCTTTGATTTTAAATGAATACCATAACACGATTGTCTTCTAATTTCATTTGATTTCTAAGAATATCATAAATCTAGGCAACAAATAATTCGCACTCGAATATAGATATTTTGGACTTGTTGATTTTGCAATATCAAATATCGAGAATTTAAGAAATTAGAGAATGTCTCAACAATTAATATTTTATTTCAATCCAAAAATACTTACTATTATGATAATTTACCATCCTTATTTAAAGAAATAGCTAAAATTTAGATAATAACTAAAATGTAGATAATTATCAAAATTAAAAGATAATGACAAAAATTAAAAACTCTAATATTCAAAATTAATCCGAAATCATCTAAATTAAAATTTGAATTTATTTAATAAACTAATAATTAAAAGATAATTAACACTCAATTTTCAACGACTATTTTTTTAAGAAATTATATATTTAAATGCATTAGGAATATCTATTGAGTCAGGTTTCCTATTGAACTATTTATTGCAATCTTATTATTCACAATCTCATTCTATAATTTTTTGTTAGTCATTTTTTTTTTTTTTTTTGTCAAGTCAATTAATTATTTATTTATAATTTATGGTCTTCACATGTCAAACAAGTTGTGGGATCCGCTGTTCAATTTTGCAGTCCAAATGGTTGTTCATCTAATGAATTATTGACATGTCATTAATTTGATTGGTTAGTGGTAAAATTAACGAGGGTAAATTTGAGACGATGTATTAATTATTGATGATATATCAATAATTTATTGGATGAACAATCCTTTAAACAATAAAAATGGACAGCAAATCTCAACTCGGACGAGTAGTGCGTCATGCCAACATGGTCAAATATTGAAAATACAATATTCAAACGCTAGACAAATTGTTTTCCAAAAACAAAACAAAGAAAAGACCTGAAAGGATGAAAATGTATTGGCCGTCGCATAACAGAACATTGATCAAGGGATATTTCAGGCCGCTCACACCAAGAGTGATCTAGTTCACTTTACATCTCTCAATTTGTCCTTTCTCTTTTATGGTAAAAACAAAAAGTTTTCGATTAAATCATGTGTACATTCGTATTAAAATGTTGGAGTTGAGGGCTAATATATGGAAGAAACAAATGAACCTCGTTAGTCAAATATCATCCATTTAGCCTCTAAACATTTTTATGTGAAATTCATTTTTTTCTTAAACTTGTTTTCAACTATATATTCTTTCAATGAAATAATTTTACACATATAATTAAAAAAAAAAATTCTACTTTTTAATAATACATTTTCCAAAAAATCACTATTAAACTAACATAATTAAGGGACCGAAGGACGATACAAACTCACAATGAAAAAATTGCTAAAAAGAATGGCTTCATTCGAGCATCAATTCATCGTTGTTGTTATATATGTTGGTATTTTTTTTAATCTTTATGAAGTTATAGAAAAAAAGATTCAGGGAGTAATACTGATCGTGATATTCGTGGTCCATGCAAGACCTAATTAATTAGACAGGACCAAATCATGCAACAAGTGGAGCAACTGAATAATGTTCATTGGACAGGCTCAAAGACAGAGATAAAGGGATAGAGTTATGTGGCAGTTGAAGGGTATTGTGTTTTTATTTCTTCAAACTGTCCAATCATGATTCGACACATTAGCTTGTTTGTGTAGCACAATTGGGAGCAATTAGCCAATGGAGAACAGTGTCATTTTGTGAGGCTTTTAAACCATCTTTTTTCTTTTAGTGACGCATACTTTGTCTTTGTAAACAAAATAATATCTCCTTCTAATCCTTAACATATCCAAACCTCTTATTGATAGCTACATACATGATACCTTAAACATGGCTGAACCTCCGCATAATCATACTGCCATGATCACTCAACTAAACCCGTCACCACAGCCTAGCCATTTTCCATTTTCTCAAATGAGAGACACCTAAGGAGCACAAGAGAGAAGATCTAAGGGAGGAAGCATTTGGTTAGACCATTAAAAGCTCCTTCAAGATTACCATCTCACCCTTTATGTGTGAGGATTTAAACAAAAAATATCATATGATCTCAAGGTGATTTAAGATCCATCGTGCTTTTGGGTTGAATCGTCGAAAAAAAAATTAGTTTCCTTTTTGTGATGATTAAATATCCTCATTCCAACAAAACACCCTTCCATTCTCTTCCTTCACTACCACCACCGCCCATACATTCTATATCTAACATTAGAAAGGCTAAAAAACTCACCATCGCTGTATCCTCCACCAGATGCACCACCAGTGGAAAGCACCCAATATACCGTGGAATAAGGAGCCGAAGTGGCAAATGGGTCTC